GTGTTTAACCTTCAGCTACAGTCCATCAATAAGACAATACGACATTCTGAATGTGTTTAACCACCAGGTCCAGCCCATCAATAAGACAATACGACATGCTGGTTGTGTTTAACCTCCAGCTCCAGTCCATCAACAAGACAATACGACATGCTGATTGTGTTTAACCTTCAGCTCCAGTCTATCAATAAGACAATACAACATGCTAGTTGTGTTTAACCTCCAGCTCCAGTCCATCAATAAGACAATACGACATGCTGGTTGTGTTTAACCTTCAGCTCCAGCCCATCCATAAGACAATACGACATGCTGGTTGTGTTTAAGCTCCAGGTCCAGCCCATCAATAAGACAATACGACATGCTAGTTGTGTTAAACCTCCAGCTCCAGCCCATCAATAAGACAATAAGACATGCTGGTTGTGTTTAACCTTCACCTCCAGCCCATCAATAAGACAATACGACATGCTGGTTGTGTTAACCTTCACCTCCAGTCCATCAATAAGACAATAAGACATGCTGGTTGTGTTTCTTACCTCCAGCCCCAGTCCATCAATAAGACAATACGACATGCTGGTTGTGTTTAACCTTCAGCTCCAGCCCATCAATAAGACAATACGACATGCTGGTTGTGTTTAACCTCCAGCTCCAGCCCATCAATGAGACAATACCACATGCTGGTTGTGTTTAACCTTCAGCTACAGTCCATCAATGAGACAATACGACATGCTGGTCGTTTTTAACCTCCAGCTCCAGCCCATCAATAAGACAATACGACATACTGGTTGTGTTTAACCTTCACCTCCAGCCCATCAATAAGACAATTAGACATGATGGTTGTGTTTAACCTCCAGCTCCAGTCCATCAATGAGACAATACGACATGCTGGTTGTGTTTAACCTTCACCTCCAGCCCATCAATAAGACAATTAGACATGCTGGTTGTGTTTAACCTCCAGCTCCAGTCCATCAATGAGACAATACGACATGCTGGTTGTGTTTAACCTTCACCTCCAACCCATCAATAAGACAATACGACATTCTGGTTGTGTTTAACCTCCAGGTCCAGCCCATCAATAAGACAATACGACAGCGTAGTAATGTTTGCTACATATACCTTTTTATTATCACATTTTAATCAATCAGGAAACAGTTTCAACACAATAAAATGTATTCATTTATATACATATATAATATACAGAGCATTCTTGTACTTATATATACAATGTTCCCCTTGGGTATCAACAAAACAATTCAAAATGATTGCTTGAGGGTAAGCTTCATTCGATACCGAGGGACAGGCGAAGAGGGAAGAAGATAGACATTAATAAATAAGTTTGAAAGAGTAGTTATCATTTCTGTTCAATAACTATTAAAAACATATTATTGAATATACGGATTGTATAACTGAATTGCAGTTGTCTCTGTATTTATTTTACAGTAATATGGTAAACTTCTCACCAGAAAATCGTCCCAATTTCTTCTTAAAAGTATAAATATAGAGAGCACATGGTCATTTTTTCTTAGAGTGGTGATTGGAGTAGGACTACGTACACGGACTCGGATTGCAACTTCATTGTGGATTGTCTCAAACATGATTTCACTATATCCGTATTGAAGGTGCTTATTTCGCAAATAAACAATGATAATTTGTACATACATGTATGTACTGTAACGTGTACTGATACACATGTACACCGTGATAAACATGTCAGATCTTTTTGGAATAAAAAAAAATATCAAATATTCCAATAATCCGTGTACGTTATCTGTCATCCTGAAAATCGGAAATATCTCATGAGATGGACATTAACACCGACAGTCAACGTTCTCCCGAAATCTGAGTCACTACTAATCGAATAGCGTCACGATCTTGCCATGGTTTAGGGGGCAGATAAACAATTCTATATACAAATCTGTCCCAGTGATGTAGCTGTCTCTACGACCAGCCACTTTACTGGGAACGACTGTGGCTGGATTATCGCAGCTCTGGTGTAGTTATACACACACTGTGTTTATTGGAATACGTAATATGTGGTAAAATCACGACATAATGGCGAAATCAATGCTGTATAATTATGAGTTTAAGTAGTTAATGCAATATATCTGAGATATGCTGAAATGGGACTCCGACATGTTTGCTCACACCTTGGCGCGGACGTCCTCTGTTGACATAATGTTCTCCTCTTTGGAATCCTCGTCATATGGTGTGATTTGGCTAGGTCAGTATTTTTGTGAAGTTAAAACATCTACTGTTCTTCAACCTTATCAGTACAGGACGCTGGTGCTTCGTCACAACTTGTAGGCTTAAAACGTGACCTGTTCATTACATAGCAGTGCTCGGTCGGCTTAGTGTGAATATATTACACGTCTGTTACTTTCCTATGACATATCTATGTAAAGAAGACATCTCTGTGTACAGAAGACATGTGTAATGTGCATCACAAAGCACAGTTTGGTCGGTTCAACATCTTTGTACAGATAGCGCATCTGTTTCCCTACTGTCCGGATCGTCGTCCGTGTCGGAGGACGGGGAAAATACAGCTGTCCCAGAGTCCAATAACAGAGCCAGCTTCTCCCCTCCAGGGGATTTATCATTTAAATCTAGGCACTTCCGGGAAGATAACCGAGAGGAATCTTCGCCATTTGAATGAAGGACGACTCTTTTGTCCATATTTTGTGTTGTTATATTGTCCGATGAATCGACCGGTAATTTACTTGTGGAGGGAGTCAAATAAGGTTCGGAGTTTCCCGAAATCACGCTTATGCTGCCGTACCTGTCAGCTAATCTTGGCTGATTCTGTTTTGGAAAAACCTTCCCTGAAATATTATCAATATAATCGTTATATTCCAGAAACAATATGTACATGCATAAAAGGACTTTAAAGGTATGTTATGCATGCTCACAATCCAATTTAACAAATATTTAACACCATTTAATCAGTACAGACGTCGTACACGAACAAGCACAGTGGAATTAGTCTGAAGTGACGACAACAATGATACAGCGGTTTTTGATTTTTCCCGCTGAACCTGCATTTAATAATTATGTGGAGTATTCTGTTTTTGAAAATCAGCATGAATCAGTCAGTGGTGTGTAAATGACTACGTACCCAAAGCGCTACCGAAACACTTGTCATACACGTCAGGAGTGGTGTCATCCAGCCCTCCAGTCAAATCCAGGTACTCCTGAAAGTACATCGTTTTGATGGTTTGCATTATGCGTACACATAGGATGGACTAGGATGACATTAGCCAGTAAGATATCATTATGATGATTTAATGTCTACCACAGAGTTCCTACAGGAACATAACAAAACATACTGGATAACTAGCGAAATCACTCTACGTCCAAGTTTTGGGGCTTAGACCTTCATCAGGGATTAAATGGTCATCACCCTTACGTCACATCCATATTTGAATCAAATTCCTGATGAAGGGCCAAGTCCGAAAGCTTTGGTTGTTGCTATTTATTCAGTATAATGAATCAAATACTTTCAGGTATCGTTGAAACATATACGAGTATATGAACTGTATCGTTCGGAAATACAAGGCTCTACTCATACTAGTATACAGGTTACCATGTACAATACTTATTTAAATAATTACTTCATGCCTTGTTAACTTTAAGGTTAGAACAAGTTTAGTCATAATCCACGCGACAATGGTGTAGATATAGTATGCAGGTCCTACGATGACAATATGTACAGTAGGTAAAGACAACGGAACTTGTGAACGTGTGTACACGTACTGTTCTTTGTTGGAGAAGGCGATCAAAAATGTCTGTCAGCTGGAAAAATGGCGGCCTCTCTGTAGGGTCCGTCTTCCAACATTTTTGCATAACAGCATACCTGTAAAATGGAAGAGATACGCTTGCTCGTTATGATGGTCTTTCTCCAATATAACCCATAAATAGGATAATTGTAGTGATAGGATCAGCAGAGGAAGGGCGCGTATTATTTCGACAAAACGTTCAACTGACGGAAAATAGTTACCTTATTATAGCGTCGTTATTGTCTACCAATTACTATGTTAGTCTGAACAGTCAGCAGGCTTAAGTTATCTGTAGCTATCGTGTGCGCCCATGGCATTGAAGGTAGGGAAAGCGCATAATTAAATGACTACATATATAAATGACTGTCAATGCCTTTGGATGTCTCTTCAGCTTTAGCATGCTCAGTTTTAGTGTGGGAGTTGAAGCTATTATTAACTCTACAATTGAAGGAAGCTGATAACTATTTGTTCGATATCTGAGGGTACACATACCTTGTATAACATGTTGTTCGATACCTGAGGGTACACATACCTTGTATAACATGGTGTTCCGATACCTGCAGGTACACATACCTAGTATAACATGTTGTTCGGCACCTGAGTGTACACATACCTACATGTAGTATAACATGTTGTTCGATACCTGCGGGTACACATACCTAGTATAACATGGTGTTCCGATACCTGAGGGTACACATACCTAGTATAACATGTTGTTCGATACCTGCGGGTACACATACCTAGTATAACATGTTGTTCGATACCTGCGGGTACACATACCTAGTATAACATGTTGTTCGATACCTGCGGGTACACATACCTAGTATAACATGTTGTTCGATACCTGCGGGTACACATACCTAGTATAACATGTTGTTCGATACCTGCGGGTACACATACCTAGTATAACATGTTGTTCGATACCTGCGGGTACACATACCTAGTATAACATGTTGTTCGATACCTGCGGGTACACATACCTAGTATAACATGTTGTTCGATACCTGCGGGTACACATACCTAGTATAACATGTTGTTCGATACCTGCGGGTACACATACCTAGTATAACATGTTGTTCGATACCTGCGGGTACACATACCTAGTATAACATGTTGTTCGATACCTGCGGGTACACATACCTAGTATAACATGTTGTTCGATACCTGCGGGTACACATACCTAGTATAACATGTTGTTCGATACCTGCGGGTACACATACCTAGTATAACATGTTGTTCGATACCTGCGGGTACACATACCTAGTATAACATGTTGTTCGATACCTGCGGGTACACATACCTAGTATAACATGTTGTTCGATACCTGCGGGTACACATACCTAGTATAACATGTTGTTCGATACCTGCGGGTACACATACCTAGTATAACATGTTGTTCGATACCTGCGGGTACACATACCTAGTATAACATGTTGTTCGATACCTGCGGGTACACATACCTAGTATAACATGTTGTTCGATACCTGCGGGTACACATACCTAGTATAACATGTTGTTCGATACCTGCGGGTACACATACCTAGTATAACATGTTGTTCGATACCTGCGGGTACACATACCTAGTATAACATGTTGTTCGATACCTGCGGGTACACATACCTAGTATAACATGTTGTTCGATACCTGCGGGTACACATACCTAGTATAACATGTTGTTCGATACCTGCGGGTACACATACCTAGTATAACATGTTGTTCGATACCTGCGGGTACACATACCTAGTATAACATGTTGTTCGATACCTGCGGGTACACATACCTAGTATAACATGTTGTTCGATACCTGCGGGTACACATACCTAGTATAACATGTTGTTCGATACCTGCGGGTACACATACCTAGTATAACATGTTGTTCGATACCTGCGGGTACACATACCTAGTATAACATGTTGTTCGATACCTGCGGGTACACATACCTAGTATAACATGTTGTTCGATACCTGAGGGTACACATACCTAGTATAACATGTTGTTCGATACCTGCGGGTACACATACCTAGTATAACATGTTGTTCGATACCTGCGGGTACACATACCTAGTATAACATGTTGTTCGATACCTGAGGGTACACATACCTAGTATAACATGTTGTTCGATACCTGCGGGTACACATACCTAGTATAACATGTTGTTCGATACCTGCGGGTACACATACCTAGTATAACATGTTGTTCGATACCTGAGGGTACACATACCTAGTATAACATGTTGTTCGATACCTGCGGGTACACATACCTAGTATAACATGTTGTTCGATACCTGCGGGTACACATACCTAGTATAACATGTTGTTCGATACCTGAGGGTACACATACCTAGTATAACATGTTGTTCGATACCTTAGGGTACACCTACCTTGTATAACATGCTGTTCGGCACCTGAGGGTACACATACCTAGTATAACATGGTGTTCCGATACCTGAGGGTACACATACCTAGTATAACATGTTGTTCGATACCTGCGGGTACACATACCTAGTATAACATGTTGTTCGATACCTGAGGGTACACATACCTAGTATAACATGTTGTTCGATACCTGAGGGTACACATACCTAGTATAACATGTTGTTCGATACCTGCGGGTACACATACCTAGTATAACATGTTGTTCGGCACCTGAGTGTACACATACCTACATGTAGTATAACATGTTGTTCGATACCTGCGGGTACACCTACCTTGTATAACATGGTGTTCCGATACCTGAGGGTACACATACCTAGTATAACATGTTGTTCGATACCTGAGGGTACACATACCTAGTATAACATGGTGTTCCGATACCTGAGGGTACACATACCTAGTATAACATGTTGTTCGATACCTGAGGGTACACATACCTAGTATAACATGGTGTTCCGATACCTGAGGGTACACATACCTAGTATAACATGTTGTTCGATACCTGAGGGTACACATACCTAGTATAACATGCCACAAAGGTTGAATTTGTAATTGTAAACTGTTCGGACAAACCGGTGTATGTTAAAACAATGACAATACTGAATTACTGTATACCGAGATACTCTCCTTTGGATATGTTAACTAAGAGGCATTGTCCAAGCTACTATAAATGCATACACTGTACGTGGAATTAAATATATTTTTTTAGGGAGGATCTTAGATCTGAAAATCATATCTTGCTGTAGTTCATCAATTCTTAACAAACATATGAAGATATCTACTTACATCTCGTCGGTACAAGATTCTGGTCTATCCATTCTGTAGCCAGCAATCAACAAATTATAGAGACGCTCTGGGGGTATACCGGGATAGGGCGGGGCACCTAAAATAAAACATAACTAACTCATCAATATTTCACACTTAAACATCAAATATAACAAACTCACCAGTATATCACACTCAAACATCAAACATAACTAACTCACCAGTAGAACACACTCAAACATCAAACATAACTAACTCACCAGTATATCACACTTAAACATCAAACAGAACTAACTCACCTGTATATCACACTTAAACATCAAATATAACAAACTCACCAGTATATCACACTCAAACATCAAATATAACTAACTCACCAGTATATCACACTCAAACATCAAACATAACTAGCTCACCTGTATATCACACTTAAACATCAAACATAACTAACTCACCAGTATTTTCCACTTAAACATCAAACATAACTAACTCACCAGTATATCACACTTAAACATAAAACATAACTAACTCACCAGTATATCACACCTAAACATCAAACATAACTAACTCACCAGTATTTTCCACTAAAACATCAAACATAACTAACTCACCAGTACACTTAAACAGCAAACATAACTAACTCACCAGTATATCACACTCAAACATCAAACATAGTTAACTCACCAGTACATCACACTTAAACAG